GGGTGCGGCCCCGGGCTGGCTGTCTCGGACGGCTGCTGACCTTGGGTCAGTCCCTCCCCGCGGTGCGCCCCAGCTCGCCCTTCCGCACACCGGGTGACGCTCGGTCGCAAACGCCGGGGCCGGGTGAGCTCGGGGCGCGACGCTGGCGACTTAGCCCCGTGCCCAGCGCGCGGCTTTTGCTTACAAAGTGGGCATTGTAAAGGTTGACATCACCCCGGCGGATTTTAGCCGACGTTGGTGGCCTGGTGCGAAGACTGGGCAGTGCTTCTGGACACTCCACTCCCTGCAGAGGAAACTTGGGCTGCCGTGCCCAGGCGCGGCAGTGGGTGGGCTGGGAAGTGGGCGGAACCGCAGGTGGGTTATTACCCACTGGGGAGCGGCCGGAAACGGGAGAGTATCGGAGGGGGCCCACCGGGTTCCCTGGGCTCCGTTGTTGTGACTGGGGCAGGAGCCACCGGGAAGGAAGTGACTTCCCCAGGTCTCAGCTGGATGGACCAACATCTGGGTGCAGGACCCAGAGCCCAGTGCACAAACCAGCTGTCCCCTCTGCCCTGTTACTGCCCAGGTTCAGGGCGGCCTCACCCGCGTTACCTCTGGCTCCCAGCTCTCTCATTTGCCTTGGAAAGGGGGGAAGCGAGAGCCCGGCACCGTAGGGACTTTGAGATCCTGGTTCCTGGGCATCTGATCCGCGCAGCTATGATTCTGAGCTCACTGTCAGCCTTGGGTGCCCACCGGGCTGCTGGTCAGTGCTGGGCAGGCTCAGGAGTAGGGAGGCCGGTAAAACATGCCTTGGCCAGGCCCGGCCTCAGACCAGGCCTGCTGGGGCCTGGGAACTGGCGTCACACTGTCCACGCAAGTGTGAGAAGTGCCCTTGCTGACTTTGGGGGGGTAAAAGAAGGCGTCCGGGGCCGCCCTGGTAGCACAGCGGGTACATGCAGCACTGAGAAGCTAAGCCACTTCAGCACGAGTTTGATCCCTGCTCTGGAGGTGACCACTTGGCACGGCAACCTCTCCTGACCGGCCCGCTGCTCCCCTCAGCAGTGTACTTCGTCAGTCAGCCTGTTCTGCTCCCCGCTCTGTCTCTGGGGAATTCTGTCACCCCTGTACTTCTGGCCTGCACCCCGGGTCTTCTATGCAAAAATAAGTAAGTGTTTAAAAAAGAAAATAGGGCCCTCCCTGGTGGCGCAGCAGGTTAAAGCACAGCACTGAGAAGCTAAAGTCACTTCAGCATGAGTTCGATCCCCGCCTGCCCTGGAGGTGACCCCTAGGGCGCGACAGACCCCTCCTGACCCACCACTGCTCCCCTCAGCAGTGTACTTCATCAGTCAGCCTGTTCTGCTCCCTACTTTCTCTGGTGAATCCTCTCACCGCCCCTGCACCTCTGGCCTGTACCCCAGTTCTGTGTGCGTAAATAAATAAATCTTTAAAAAAAGGCGAGCGTCTGAGGCTGCTAGAAATCTGGGGAGTGGAGAGTGGGCTCGGGGCCAGGCGCTGCTCCCTGCCGCCCGGAGTGCTCGTGCTGGCTGTGTCCTGGGCACGAGGTCAGGCGGATCCCCTAGGTGGGGACCCCTGACAGGTTGGTGGCCTGACCCCTCCAGATCTGATGAAGCGGTTGTCAGCAGTCATCCTCTTCCGTCTGATGTTCTTCAGCCCATCTTTGCCCGAGTGGCCTTAGGCCAGTGGCTCGGCCCCGGGTCACGTTGACTCGTCTAATGGGGTCCATGTGGTGTGGTGCTCAGACCGGTGTCCGGCACCCGAATGCTGCTATGTGGCGGCTGCTGTGGGCACTTAACCGGGAGGCTAGTGACCAGCTCAGACCCAATAGCTGTCGTGGAGGCATGGAGAGGCTCCCAGAAGCTTCATGTGGCACTTAGTGTGGTTACCGGGGACCACAGCTTAATGTCCCCGTCCTGTGTGTTTGGGCAAAGCCGCAGACCCAGGCATTCCCAGCCCTTTAGGATTCTGAATGGCCGTTCCGGCGCACCCATCAGGATAAACCTGGTTTCGGAATCCATCCCTGGGCACCCAGTCTGTGTGACCGACCGTGGGCACGCGCGCTCCGTGAACCCCTCGGGTGGCCTCGACTCGCTGCCGGGCGTAGCAGGCCCCTCCTCGGCCCACCTGTCCTCCGCCTGCGACCCCTCAGCCCCTTGCGGAGGGACAGTAAATCCTTGACTCTTGCCCCAGGGGTGCCCCGGTGGCCAGTGTGGGGTAGGAGATGACCTTAGAGGAGCCCTGGACTGGACTGTATCAGAAGAGGCTTTTTCTCCCCGGTCCTGTCAGATTTGCTGACCCATGAAGGCACATTAAGGAGCATGAGGGCCCCTTGGCGCTGGCGTTTCAAGGCCGCCGGGCGCAGGCGTTTGAAGGCCCCTGGGCGCTGGTGTTTCAAGGCCGCTGGGCGCAGGCGTTTAAGGCCGCTGGGCGCAGGCGTTTCAAGGCCGC